TMGMTRAAAAAAAAGAACAACAAAAGAGCAGTGACGTAAGCAGCTGACAAATGTGCACTCGTGAGYATGCAGCCCTTGATTTGAGARGCAGCCAACATGTCTTCCTTTTAGCTGTGGCGACCATCTTGAGTTTTTATTTGGATTRACTATGTGATTGGAATTGTTTTCACCTACCACTACACCAAATTTCATCTCAATATGTCATAAAGTGGCTAACTTATAACCATTTAAAKTTAGTCCTGGTGGCCATTTTGAATTTCTTGCAATGCAAACTTTACAAAACAACACTGTAATTTTGAAGCTGCTAGAATGAAAGGTTCGAGTAGGATATTTTTTTCCAACACAATAATGCATTTTTGTACTGCCACTATGTGGCACAGTGGTCAATTCACAACGTGTTCAGGATTGGATTGCCTATACATTTTTACACAATTTGCATTACTCCCAATGTGTTCTTGTAGAATTGGGAGTACTCAGAAAAATCCCATGACCACTTAGTTCAAGTTTTGGAAAAACTATTGCTAAATATTTTGCACCATCTTGTCGATACTGTTGAATTTGAGGACGAAATAGCGTTTGGTGTGATGTGAGAATCGCTAAAATGTGTAATTTATTTTCTCAAAATGGACAACTTTCTGTAGGTTTTAGAATATGGTGCCAAGAGACTTTTATGTTGGTACTGGATTGATGTACCAATGTACCAAATTTCACATGTGTTTGTTTAAGTTTCATTATGCTCAACCCACTAGAACATGGTGAAAAAAATCCTCCAGTTGGCAGAAAAATAATAATAATAATCACATTAAAAAAAAACATGCCTTTCGCTGCTCAGGCCCTAATAATTCAAACATGTGGCCCATGGCATTTAATACAGCATGTCCTTGTTTGAAGTGCCAGTTGGCAATATCTTCAAACACCTAAATATTTAACCCCTCAATTCAGAAAAAGTAATTTTTATTATATTTCCCTCACAAAATATTTGATGTAGCACTACTTTCTCTCCATGGTTGTACAAATGTGGCTGTGGAYTAAAGCCTCCTTCATACATAATATGAACACAATATGGTGTTAAAAAATGTAGAGGGTCTTTGCAGAGTCTTGATAAGGTCTTCGTGCACATATGAAGAAGCTGCAAACGGAATAGCCCTTTTTATGATAAATAAAGTTGTTTTGATTTGATTTTGAAAAGGCAGTGTGCTCCCTGTTACTGATAGGAACTTCTGTTGTGTGTCTGCAGGTTTGATCACCAGCAGTCAGACCATGGCTTACGCCATTAGTAAATTCATCAGCGGAGTGCTGTCAGATCAGATCAGTGCCCGGTGGCTTTTCTCCATCGGCCTCTTCTTGGTGGGRGGCATCAATGTAGCCTTTTCCTGGTCCTCAACTGTATCCATGTTCTCACTGCTCTGGTTCATCAACGGCCTGGGTCAGGGCTGCGGCTGGCCCCCATGTGGAAAGGTGCTGCGCAAGGTACTATCATCCTGCCTGTTGCATCATCAAGCACAAATCCTTAAACMGTTAATTGGGTTTTTATTGTTGTCCCCTTAAGGTGAAAAGGTTGAAGATGTTTTTCTCATGCTTGTGTGTGCATGTGTATGCTGTTAGAAA